GGGGCGGGGGGGGGGGGGGGGGGGGCGATTTAACGGAGGGTTTTTTGCGTTACGAGTTTTGGGGGCTTATATTTGGAGGGACTTATTTTCGGAATTTTACGGCAATAGTTGAATTCAAGTTCTACATGCTAACTTTTTTTTGAAAAGGAAGTGAATGGTTATTTTTTTTGTTTTCGCCTCTGTTTCCTGCGCCTAAGACTTGGTTTCACGTTCCATGACGTGTGACACTGGTTTGACACTTGGTTACATTTTATGGCCCTTGATTTTCCCGCCTACAGCTACCTGGGCCGAAGTCATGTATCGCTTATGGCCGGGAAGCGTTGCGTGACTCGGGCCAAGTGACTGCACAGAAAACAACCTGTCCCGTTCTGATAGTGGGGTGTGGCACAAAGTCAAAGAGCGGGTCGCTGTTCCCTGCTCACATCTCTTCGCGCCGTTCCCGAAATCTGAACGCCTGGAACAGGCTTCCCCGAAGAAGACAAGTAGAAGACATTTGGTTAGCACTTAATTGCATGTTTTGGCCCGTGACACTGGTTGCATTATTTCCCGCCCTTGACAACAGAGTTTGCACAGTTTCTCACGCCAAAATTAGCAAGTTTTCCCCTGCTTGTAATTCTTTTTTCTGTTGCAATATTTGCGTTTGTTTTTGTTGGCAATAGTAGTGGTTTTGAGTCCATCTTTGAACCTCCATGTACGACCAATTTCCCAAAGCACCTCAAACCCCGGCTACAGCTGAAACCTCCCGTTAACGATCACCTCTCGTAACCGAGCATCAGTTTTATAACTTTCCATCGTTTTAAACCTCAGTTGAAGCATGGTCTGAAATCTTAGATTTTGCTGTATACACTACGATACTCATAGTACACTTATAGAAAGAACTGCTAGTGACAACATGGAGCTGTGTATTTCGTAAATTACATGTAATAAATTCTCTTGCCAAATTTAATATGTTGATACCACTCCTCTACTCGGAATAGCCTGCGTAACCTGCGGGAATAGCGGGGGAGTACTGTTTTTTTTTTCTTTTTGGCGGCTGAGCCGCCTGAAGTTTGGGAGCAAGTCACCGAAAATCCTCCGCCGCCAAGAAAATCCCCCGCGCATAATAATCCCACCAGCTACACGGGCTGTATTTGGAAAAGAGCCCCGTGGATCTATTCAAGCGACCACCTCTCTTGAGCTACCGCTTCGCATTTATAGCGTCACTCATACGAGGTTCGACTGAATTTTCAGGGTAACCTATCGTCCGCAGTATAAAATAGAGGTGAGAACCGTGATTACGTCGGTCAAAGACTGTTGTCCCGGCTTCACAGGAAAAGATTGCAGTCAAGGTGGGTGCTATTCTATCAAAGTCAGTTCCAACTAACATTTTTGTCATTACTTTCATTCACATCAAGCCATCAACTGGAGTGTTTCTGTTTCAACAGGCTGTTTTAATTGCACCAAGTTTCTTCTGCTGGAAGCCAGGTTAAAAGCCTTGGAACAGGTTAGTAACTGGTATGAAGGTGGAATTAAGTGCTCCGGCGTCGCTCTCGCGTGGACGCTCGTGCTTTGCTTCTCGGACAGCTTGCTCGCCGCGTAACAGACGAGCCAGGTAACTGGCAGGTAACCCGCGTTTAGACTGAAGTTCAGCATGTACCACGATGCCGACCAACTGAAGTAGCTCTTCTCGTTAAGAGGCTGCCATGTCTTTGAGCTCATTTGAAAATAGTTTCATTTTTTGGATGTTCCGTTAGAAATAGCTGTTGCATTGATTTTTACTTTTTTATTTATTAGTTGATTCCGATTTGTAGAGAACCAGTAACTGAACCCTTTGATTTGTAGTGGTTGTTTCACCGTTTCAAATTTTAGACTCCACAGTCTACTTCTAGCATGCATGCAATGAACGCCTTGGAACTTATTTAACTAACTAGCCCTTTGGTTGAAGTTTAAAGCAGCTTGCCCATTTTCTGTTTACTTTTTAAAGAAAAGTCAAAAAGCTCCTGCCGAGGCGATAGTTCAGGACAGCGAAATCTCAAGAGGTCCATCAGGACTTCGCGGGCCACCCGGACCCCCCGGGCCACCGGGAAGAAGAGGAGAAACCGGAGATCCAGGGCCTCCAGGCTCAAACGGAGTCGAAGGTGGGTAGGATATCAATGGAACTTAAAAACGCATTAACATTCCTAGTCTGCACTTTAGCATAGGAATGCGAATATAAATTAATTGTTTTTGTTTTTGTTACTTTCAGGGCAATCACGTGGTTCAAGTGTCCAGAAAGGGGAGAAAGGAGATCCCGGCGAGCCGGGTACCACAACAGTAGTGACCGGAGACCCGGGACTACCTGGATCTCCAGGACCCATGGGACCCCCGGGATTAAAGGGGGAAACGGGTGAATCAACACAAGGAGCACGAGGACCCCCTGGACTTCCGGGTCCAGCGGGAGAACCTGGCCGCCCAGCTATCGGAGCCTCGGTGAGGTTTAAAAAGACGATCTTAGTTTAAATTACTGAAAGGCGTACGCGTA